GATCTCTAGGTTCTGTTGTGGGCATTTAATTATTCTCTATGCCATAGCGAACTCCTTCTCTTCTTTGTCATTGCGGATCTAATATAATAAGTTTTTGGAAGCAATAAAATTCTTTTTACTATAAATTTAGTTCATGTGTAAGATACAACTTGCAACCAATGTGCTAGGCCATATGAGCTGAGCCTTGCTCCAAGGCGGCCCCCTCTTGCCCACAATACTCAAGGCTTTAAGGATAGAATTTCTTCAAGTTTGTCATGTGTCAAGTTCTTAGCAGTGCAACACTTTTCATTGTCTTAAGGTGATATATTTTATCTTGACGAGGTGATGCTTCAACTCTTTGAATAACTCCTAACATACCTCAATCCACAGAAAATTCTTCGGGTTTTTCAGTGCTCGAAAGAACAGTAGTCACTTATCGCCCAACCGTGATAAAAACCAATTGAGCATTGTTGGTTGTTCCGTTAATTATTATTTCTCTTTCATAGATCAAGGAGGATAAATCTCGGTTATGGTGCAGACTTTCTCAAGGTTTGCATATATTCCCCTATGGTAGATGATAAACCCGAGTAACTTTCTAAAATCAACTCTGAAGGCACATATTAAATTTTTTCAAAATTTAAAATATCTTGGCTAGATTTGTAAAGTATGAATCAACCATTCTACTATTAACTATCATGTTGTTTATATACACTTTAATGTTCCTCCCAATTTGATGCTCGAACATTTTATTCACTATTTTTTTGTATGTTACCCCGGTATTTTTTAGCCTGAAAGGTATAACTGTATAATAGTATACACCTCGGTCGATAATAAAGAAAGTGCATTCATAATCTTAGGGTGTCATTCTAATCTGATTATAGCTTGAGAACACTTTCCATAAATGTTAAGAGCTCATGACCTGAGGTGACATCCATTAGTTAATCAATCTAAGAGAGAGGATAGCTAAATTTCAGAATTTGTTGATTTTGGTATAGTCAACATACATTCTATATTTTCTATTAGATTTTTTTGACTAGTATAATATTGAAAAGCCACTAAGGGTACTAGACTTACTAATAAATCCTTCCCCTAATAACCTATCAATCTTGTTGCTAATCAACCACTAGCATTCGGGAGAGAACTTGTGAGGCCTCTGCTTCATCAATCAAGCATTGAGGGATATGTTCAAGCGGTGGTGGGCTACATCTAGATCTATGATTGTAATGTCTTTCGATAACTAGGAAAATACCTCGATTTTTTTTTTATAAAGGAAGTTGATAAACCGTAAGCACTTCTCTTTGGGAAGCATCATTCCAACCTTGATGACCCGGTCGGGACAGGTCTTATCTAATGGTGCCTCGATAAACTGCTCCATCAACAATTCATCAAATTTAGCTTTTTTCGGTTGTAAGAGTATTATCAAATAGCATTATCGGGGACTCCCTCTGGTTACTCGACTCTTTGATGTTGGTCCTCATTGAGAACTTTATTGATAGGTAAACACTAGGACCTTCAACCAATTGAGAGTGAGTCGGCCAATGATTGCATTGTATACCACGGGGATGACAACCACTATAAACTTGGTCATTACTATCTTGGAATAGGGTTTCTCACTAAATATCCCCTCCCAAGACGTGCTCGTCGATAATAATGCAAATTTATCTTTCCACCAGACCTTGCGAGCAAGGTGAAAGTTCTCGAGGTTTCTTGATGAACCTCCTGAGGTGCTCATAATGAATAAGTTCTTCGATTTATTCTTTCAAATCTCGACACTCTTTTATGTCATAGTCATAATTTTAATAAAAATAATAATATTTTAATTTACTCCTCTTCTCAAAGGATATCTACATTAATAATGGGTCTTTCAAGAATATCTTCATCTTTATTTGCAAGAAGACATCGGTCCTTATTATGTTTTGGGGAGTCGACCGAGACCTTAGGTGAGATATTTTCTAGTCGACCCTGCTTCCTCTATCGTGACAAGCCCGAGACCCTGCTTACTTGAGATCATTGCTTTCACAATTATGTACAGGTTAGCTCGCTAGAGGATCTCGAGTATCATTATTGGTGGTCTTTCCACTAATAACCAAAAAAAGCGAGAAGGCTAGAGGACTATCATAAAAGCTTGTATCACGAGGGAGGGGTGGGCTTCTTGCATGTCTCATATTTCACTAGTGAACTGAGTGATGAAGTTGGAGAGGGTTTTGTCCTCCCTCTATCTCGGCTCGAGTAGCATTATCACAGATGGCCTTAGGCGTATGTTCCCAAGTCAGTGAAGTTCATATTCTTTTATGAGTTAAGTGAAATAATAAATAGAAAATGACTTTAGGCAACTCTACCACTCCTTGTCAAGCCCCTTAGTATCGCTGGGAATGCTCGACACATCAGAGCATCCAATGCACCATATAATGATATTTAAGCATGGAAAACTATGCTCTAATGGGTCAATGATGTCATTTGAATGTCTCCAATGATGGGAGGTGGGGATGTGTGTCGAGATTGGTTTCTCGATGATTTGAGCAAATGGAGAGTGACTTGAGGTGGGATCATCCATATCTTCCCCTTTAGACTATTGGAACTCTTGACTCATTTCATCCAAGTGCTAGTCCATTTACTATAATTGGGCTCTCAAGGAGTCATCTATTAAATATGTTGATTGGGTCGCCAATTTGAGTATGGTTGGGCCCTAGTGCGACGACGCATTGAATTCTAGAATCTGGGAGCGAGGAGCCCCCTCTGCCAGACGAGTCTAAGATAGTTATAAGCATTAGTGTTGAGTCAATTGGGGGGACCTCGATGGACACAAGTGTCAGCGATGGTTGAGACATTGGCCATGATTGCAATAGATGCATAATTTATTGAGCTAGCTGGGGCGGGAGCAGAATAATTGCTTACATCATGCCCGTGAGCTCCTATACTTTGTGTAAAAGGCTTAGGAATACTTTAGCGAGACAACCATATGTTTCGATTTCATCCCTAGAGATGAGAGCCCCGAGTCGTTGAATAGATGTCAGTACTACCTAGCTGTCTAAGTAGAGGTGGATGCATCCACCTAGGAAAAGGAGGGCGGCTACCCACCTTATATAAATGTACTATGGTTGGTGGTAGAGTTTTCTTACTGGAGCCCTTGTTGAGAAGGTTCATGGGTGGATAATGCTATGACATTCAAGGCTCTTTTTCTAGTACCAAAAAATTGATAAGAAAGTACTATCGACCGTAAGTTAGTCCAGCTTGGCCTTGACCTAAAGGAGTAGGGGCATCTGAAGAACTTCTGTGGTAATCCTACGAGGCGATTGATATGACACCGAGGTATTCGAAGTGGCCTTCGAGTGGCTTTTGAGTGTTCAAGATGGCCCCGAGGCTGGGTTGAGATGGAATTTGACTCCTCTATGGGTTCCTATACAGAGGTAACATCAGGGGGAGTTTCCTGACCCGATCCCTTCGATGCTTAAGGGGTTTTTGGTGAGAGGTTCGACTCATGGGTCAACATTGGGAGTCAACCTTTATATATGACCGATTGAGGGAATCCTCTGTAATAGCCTCAACGAAATCATGACAACCCCCTCCCCTCCCCCATTTTCCTTTGGTTTCTTATCCACGGGGGTGACAGGTCCAAATAGCCTCTCGTGGACTTTTGTCTATAGAGGTCGATAGTGGAGAAGCAAGCTCAAAAGACCTCCCATGAATTATTGTCCATGGGAGCCAACAGAGCCACCCAAATGATCGTCTATGGACTATAGTCCATGGGTCGACATACCATAACCACCCCCACCTCATTGGTTGTCAAAATACTTTCTATCAAAATATAATGGGCCCTCTCTATTAAGATATATTAGGCCTCAAACTTGAGTCTCTCAACAAAATGGCCCAAAAATAATCTATATGAAATGAAACAAGTATATGTATATTAATTCCTTGCGAGAGAGTAGATATAATATGTTCTTTATTTACTAATTTACATTTCAATTTATATTTCATCAATATGCTCTGCGGGCTCCACAACAAAGATGCCGTCGGTGTATCTGCGACTTTATATTCTTTCTGCTCATCACACAGTATCCAGCTGTGTCACAACACAATGTTACGAAAGACTATCAAATAAAAACACGTTAATTTGCACTTCCTCTGCTGATTTCCGAGTCCATTTGCAATTTGGCATCCTATGAACCATGAGAACAATTGCCAGCTAAAAAGCCTTGCGTACACACTCAATATTCACATGGATTACTTTGTCATTTTCCTCTATATTATATGTAGTTTGCTTGATCTCTCGATCTGCTTCTTACCTATAAATACTCCACCCTAACACTAAACTCTCCATCACAAGCGAGCAGTAGCAGTACTCGATTTAGCGTGCAAAGTACTGCAGCAGAAGCCATGGCATCCAAGGCCTCAGCATCGGCTGCCCTCTTCCTTGCTCTCAACCTTGTCTTCTTTGCACTCACCAGTGCTTGTGGCACCACTTGCACCCCCGCCACTAAGCCCCCACCGAGCTCTTCCCATGGCAAATGCCCCGTCGACACCCTCAAGCTGGCCTCCTGCGCCAACGTGCTCAATGGCCTGATCAAGGTCGGCGTCGGCAAGTTCCCGAAACAGCCGTGCGAGTGCTGCACTCTGCTCGATGGCCTCGTCGACCTCGAGGCCGCCGTGTGCCTTTGCACTGCTATCAAGGCCAATGTCCTTGGCATTCATCTCAACCTCCCCATCAACTTCAGCCTTCTCCTCAACTACTGCGGTAAGAAGGCTCCCACCGGTTTCCAGTGCCCTTGAGCTCCCCCTGCAGATCACATCATCGATCCTCTTTGCCGTGGTGAAGTTTATTGAGCATTCATTGTGTCTTTACTTCCTTTGTTTTGCTTTTGATGACGAAAGTGTGAGTGTTGATATGAAGGGCAATTGCTGCTTCATGTAATGTACCTGTCATTCCCTTTTAATTCACAGCTTGTTGAGTACCCCCTCGGGATGTAATGAGATCAATGCATTCAATATAAAATATCTGCTGCATTCACATGCTCTTCATGAATCGTACAATGATAATAAATATTTATTTAGCTAAGAAAGACTGGTTTTCACAGGTCAAACTGCACAATGGCACCTTTAATGGATGCTGGTTGATCACAAATGCTACACGCTAGAAAAGAATTGCAATTACAAGATTACACCAAACACGAAACAGTGCACATCAACACTCGACTGACCCATATTTTGCTGCATGAAAAGCAAACCAAATTGCTCAAACTGGAGAACATGCACGAACACCATGGTTGATTGGGACCTTCAAAGGAGCAGAAAGGACAGATGACTCCGATGAAGATGAACACCGGGAACTAAGGGCACTGGAACTCAGCAGGGACCTTCTTGCCACAGTAGTTGACGAGAAGGCTGAGGTTGATGGGGACGTTGAGGTTGACGCCAAGGATATTGGCCTTAAGCGCGGTGCAAATGCACACAGCGGCCTCGAAGTCGAGGAGACCTTCGATGAGGGAGCAGCACTGGCATGGCTGCTTCGGGAACTCACCGTCACCGACAGTGATGAGGCCATTGAGCACATTGGCGCAGGCGGCCATTTTAAGCGTGTCAACAGGGCATTTGCCGTAGGAAGGCTTTGGTGTGGGCTTGGGGCGCTTAGGAGTCGGTGCTGGGCAAGTGCCGCAGCCACTGGTGAGTGCAAGGAAGAGGAGGTTGAGGACGAGGAAGAGGCCAACTGACGCTGAAGCTTTCGCTGCCATGGCTACCTTCTGCTTCTGCCGAAATGATGTGCTTTGTGATGAATAGCTTGGTAATAGAGTAGAGTATATATAGATTGGAAGAGGCTAGTGAGGGTAATATGCTTCAATTGTTACAGAGAGAAGATGACAAGGGAAGCCATGTAGATGATGATGAATCCGGTGGGCGAGGTGGTTTAGCTGGCAAGTATGTGAATGGTGAGGAGAAATCCAAGTTGCAGCTCATCTTAGATCTCTTGCTGGTACAGCACACAACATTGGGACATGTGTTTTACTTGTTGCAACTTCATCACTGATCAATATGACAGTGGCGAGGACATGAAAGGATACGTAGTGACAGTGAAAATAACAAGGTTCATGCATGTATGCCCATGCAGAAAACATACGCCACGTACGGGTCATCAAGAAGATAATATAAAGCAAATCATCTCTCTCTCTCTCTCTCTCTCGAAAATAGCCAACTTGTGGTTTCAGCAATGGCATCGATATACGAAGAATCCAAGGAACATATCCTCCGCAAAGTTATAGAGAGTTTATAGTATAAAAGCAAAAGGTATTCACCAATATTTGACATTCAATACTGTAATATTGGATGTCTTTTGGTCCAATACTATAATATTTGACAGGACTTGTCACCACATGACATAGATAAGGAATCCCAGCGCTGTGAATGATGGAAAAGCTGAGGCACATCAGAACAATTTTGACATCAGGATTGGATCGGAAATGTCGAGCAAGAAAAAGAAATAGAGTTACAAAATTAGGGAACTGTGACTCTCGTGATACTTGCACAGCTTATCAAGCTTGAAAGTTTTTGTTCTTTGTCAGGTACTTGATGTTGGCTTGCTGTGAATTCACCTCATTCATTGGAAACAAGCAGAGTAAATTTCATGAATCATGCAGCACAAAAGCTCAGTTAAACTCCAATATGATCTTGGGAACTAAGAACACCATTATGAGTGTAACAGGCTAATTGACTTCCAAAGCTAAACATTAACCTAAACACTGAGTGCTAAAACATGACGCTGGAATCAAACCTAGTAAGTTAATTAAGAGGACAGAGAGAACCAGAAGGAGGGTTCTTCCCACAGGTAATGAGCAGCTGAAGTGCCAGTGGTATATAGATGTCGAGGTTTAGTATCCTCAGCTTAATGGCGGTGCAAAGGCACACTGCAGCCTCCAGCTCCAGCAGTCCATGCAGCACCGGGCAGCACACGTTCTCGGCCGGGTTGCCGGCGCCCAGGTGCACCAGGCCTCCCAGCACGTCGAGGCACAGCCCCAGCTTGAGATGATCCAACGAGCACGTGGCCGGAGGCGAGGCCCCTGGAAGGCGACCGCCACCTTCCACCGGTGGCAGCACCCTCGGCGGTCTCCTCAGCGCAGGAGGCCAAGGGAGCGACGGCTGGGAGCACGAGTCGCATGCGAATGCCTGCGGCAACGCCATGGAGACGATGAGGAAGAGCCAGGTCGTGGTCTTGGAAGCCATGGAGGTCGGATGTGGAGGAGGAGAAGAAGAAGGGCTTAAGAGCTTTTGAAGGCCTCTCTGCAAGCATGCATGCATGCCCGTGAACGTATATTCAATTCCTTGGATCTTAGTAATGCATGCGAGCACGAATTAACAAGAAGAAAGAGAGGGAGAGACTCCGCCTCGGGTTGTGAATTCTATTGTGCTGGTCATGAGGATTCTGTTCTCGAGCAGTCCGTGAGTTCTCCTCCGATCCGTCACCCCTGCAGAGTCCCCATTGCTCTCACTCGCATTGCATGTCATTACAACCCAAATGACAAAGAAAAGGCCATTGATGAGCAGAATGATACATAATGCTCATTAGTTGCGTATAAAAGCTGTTTATATGAGAATTAACTGAAGAAAACAATAATCTTCCAAAAGTTTGGATAAGTAATAATAAAATAAAACTCATAATGCAATTTCCGTGAAATTATTACCCGAATATTTTTTATTTCTTTTCTCGTCTTATATCATAGCATTTCCAGAAACAAGATCCACGGATTTCTCTCTCTCTCTCTCTCTCTCACTCACTGTGCACTTGTTTGAGCTGTACTACTCTTTCGTGGATAGAGGATTTGGAGTTCTCTGTGATTGATTGTGGCATCGGATAGCTTTGGCGAGGAAGCAAGAAATAAAAGAATCGGTGGCAGCAGCGCAGCAGTTGAGATTTTCTAACAGGTGAGCTGTGAGGACAGCGAGGATGTTGTCTTGACGGAAGAAAATACAGGCGTGACAGTGTGTGGGGTGTGTGGCCGCGCTGCAAGATACGTCCGTGAACTCTCTCTCTCTCTCTCTCGCTCTGCCGCTCATGGAAACCCGTGAACTCTCTCTCTCTCTCTCTTGCATCTGATCGCGGCTCTACTTGGTTGGAAACCCTACAAATTCAAGTACAGCTGTAGCATATGATCCAGATAGATGACGACGTGACTCCACAGGGAAGAAAGGAAGAGGAACACCCAATGAGATCTGAGAATGGATTGTGGACTATCTCAATGTCAACAAACTATAACTATCCCACATATATAAGTAATTCTCTACAGTGAAAAGATAGTTACTCTCAGAATGTTTTGGCACTTCATCAGCAAACCATAACATGGATTGGCCCATTAATTTCTTTTCTCGGTGTCTCGTTAATCGGAACTCGATACGGGACATCCAATCAAAACCTAAATAAAGGCGTGAGATGGGATCTCAATCGACATGACACTGACGTGACGTTCTTTGGCATGTCTAGTGCAGTGTACTGAAAGATTCCAATTAGCATGATAATGACGTGATATTATCTATGAATGCTCACTCAGGTGTCCAATCATCTTACCATCTAAATTCCTCGTTGATGTCACAGTTTGGGACCCGTAAAAGGAGGTTATCTTTGAGTATGTACTCATCGCTAAACTCTTCGTGAAAGACTCACTTTGTTGATCTTTGATTTAATCATCAAAGAGATCTTCTCGGACATATCAACAGTGTAATTTTACATGATATCTCAACCTGCACGAGTCAACTATCAAGAGAACAAAATGCAAGCGAACAATCGGCTTGAATATTATCAATGGCATCCAATTTTCAAACGTTATTATTTGGAAAACGAGTTAGTCAAGTCACATTCACTACTAAATTAATTTTATGACTAATTACATGTTATCCCTTTATTTGAACCCTATTAGTATCTCGATCTCTATACTCAAGAAAATTATATTGAAATCTTTATAATTCTAAGAATAAATTAAATAATCTCAGTTGCCTTAACTTCATCAACTACAATGACGCAAAACACAACTCATGACACCACGTGCCAGATCAATACGAGAGTGATGAGCAAAAAGATAATTTCAACATCTATTATGTTTTCAGTAATTTTATCGATAAAAAGGAAGGGATGTTGAAATTATTTTTTTGTCCATCATTTTCATGTTGATTCAGTATGCGGTGTCACGTATTATGTTTTTCATTAATACAGTCGACGATGTTAGGGCAAATAAAATTATTTTAGAATTATAAGGATTTTAATATAATTTTTTAATTACAGGGATCATGATACTAATATGATCGAAGTATAATGGATAATATATAATTAGCCCGTAGTTTTATGACAAAAAAATACTTTTAATTTGTTATAGCTATTTTCTTTCATCAATTTTAAAAATGTAATCATCAATAGTTTTGGAAGAAAAAAAAAAAAGGTCTAACGGTTACCACATCATTAGCAAACTTTGACCTAGAAAGGTACATTACTTTGTGTGTGTTATAGAAGAAATAATAAGATCGGCATCATCGCATTGGCATTATCTAACCAACACGTCAAGACCGTGGGGTCGAAACATTATCACGTGACTCATGACTTGGGCCCATGCGGTAGATGCACCCGAGTCACGTGATCAACATGACAGGTTACATATTAATGTCACACAATCGAACCTTGGGTCTTGTGGATGTAACCGTTATTATTAAATATCTAATTTAATAATAATATAACTATTATCATTAAGATTCATAATTCATTATCATGAATTTCTTCATTTATTTATGATTTAAATGATTTTAATTTTTTATTCTTTATACATGAAACCGTTATTATTAAATTAAATATTTAATATCATTAAAGTTCTTCATTATGGTCCAAACGTTACAAATTTGAATTAATTCTTAAACATTATAAATTGGTGATAATGAATGTTCTTGATAGGAGAACATCTATATATATGAGGATTTTGGTCCCTGGGCTCAATCATCTCTTTGAAGCGAAAGGGTTTCCTACACCATATAAAGTGAGAGTTCTGAGCCGAGAAGTACCAAAGTTCAAGAAGAAACATCTGTAGAAATTCTTGGCGATAATGGCTGGAGGTACGCTATTTTGTTTCCGCATTAGTTTTTATTGTATTTCTATTATAACGATTTAGAAACACAAGTTAGTTTCAGTGATTTCTTACAGTGAAGTGACGTAGTTGACCCCAAATAGGTCCCATGTGATATACACATTACCTATCCAAGATTTTACGTTCTCCAGCCAACTAGTCACTCTCGTCGTTTGATCTGTGCCATGTTTCGAAAGACTACGAATCCCAGATTTGACGTGAGCTAATAGTAAGTATAATCAAAATCAGCTTTTCACACTCGCACAAGTCATGCATCATACGAACGTAATGGCACCAAACACCCACTATAAAATGGGGTCACATGTACACACGAGTCCAATGACTTAAGTATTGGATAGGTATTGTTGGGAGTACTCCGAAGCAGTTATGTAGGATTCAACAATCACAAACTAACCTAATAGTGTGGTATGTCATCCATGCATGATTCATTCAAGACTTTGACTCATCTTATATCAAGCTTAAGATTGTTTTATTGGCTTTATTGGATTCATTCAAACTAAGCTTAAGATAACTTTGACTCATATTATATCAAGTGGTTTTTCTATTGGTGAAGCCGTGAAAACTGGATGATAGCAAAGACGATAAATTCAGCTAGGAATTCACCAAATGATTGTGTCCTTTGACATCACAAGCATGTTATATGATATGTTTTGGTCTCTATAAAAAAATCAATTAAACCAAATTGACTTTTTTTTATTTTATTTTGTTCAAACAATGCCTTTTAGGGTTCCTACCTGAGTAAGCAATCAATTACAATAATAAAGTTGAGCAATATTAGCAACACAAGAGGGATATAGTCATTTAGATATCATTCCTTTCCTCCGAAATAATGATATATCTGCACACAAGTGTCACATATATGCACCAAATAGGTTGATCGAGTACATAGCCATATCACAACCATAGTTGAAATCTTTCATGACTTCTGTAACATGAAAATTCATGGATGGTGTTTCTTGGAGGTGGATGATGACTCGAATACTATATCAAGTCACGTAACTCTAATATAGCCATGTTGGGTATAAAAAGGTATATGAATCTAACATGTATTATAATTAAAGTATGTTATATGTATGACAAAATCTACTAATTCTGGAAATCAATCTGCAGGAAAAGATGAGCAACTAAAATGCTTTCATATAACATTTGAGAGCAAATCGATGGATCGTTGATAGAACATGTAATCTGTGAACAAACAAATACACACATCATGCATTGATGGTTAAGCAAAACTACAATATATGGAGTACGTACACGTACAGGTAAAATGATAACACCTTATTCGACACCCACAAATTGTCCTTATTATGACTGGAGATAAAGGCTTTAGCATTAAGCCTCCACCAACTAAATAATCGAAGTGGATACACACGAGTACATGGCTGTCACAACGAAGAAGAACACGAGATCATGGCTGCAACTCAAGCGCACAGGTAGCCATAGGGGACCTTCTTGCCGCAGTAGTTGAGGAGGAGGGTGAGATCGACGTCGACGTTGAGGCTGATGCCCAAGATGTTGGCCTTGATGGCGGTGCAGAGGCACAAGGCGGCTTCGAAGTCGGCGAGGCCCTCGATGAGGCTACAGCAGGGTTTCTTGGGCGGGGTGCCGATCTGGAGGTTGATGAGGCCGCCGAGCACGTTGGCGCAGGCGCCCAGCTTGACCGTGTCGATGGGACAGGATGGCATGCCGGGTTTGGGAGTCGGTTTGGGTCTGGGCGAAGGCTTGGGCTTCATCGGAGGTGGCGGGCAGTAGCTGGAGGAGACCAAGGTGAAGAAGAGGAGGCTGAGGCAGAGGAGTAGAGCGGTGGAGGAAGAAGCCATCTCCTGTCGAGTAACTTGGACGAGGAACGGAAGGGGAATACGTAGGAGTGTACTTTGGCTTGGGAGTGGAGCAATGGGAAGTTAGGGTTTTATAGATAAGTACTGCGATTTGCGGTACAGTGGCAATGCATGTGAGCAGGTGGGCCAGACATGCAAGCTGGAGATTGGAGATAGGGTTCGGTGCTTCGTCATGTAGCGCTTTGTGCCGCTTGCGCTCGTCATGGTTCTGCACTGTGATCTTTCCACCATTATTCACCGATCCAAACCCCTCTCTCTCTCTCTCTCTCTCTCTCTCTCTCTCACGTACAGAGAGAGATAGAGATACTGTGGTGTAGCTTCAGTCCTTAAAGGTGAAAACTGAACACAAGACAGTATCACAATTTAAACAATGAACACGATTAAGCAAGCCAATCACAACAACCACATATCGAACTTTCTTGGGTTTTACCCAAATCAGTGTTATGAACTTTGTTGGAGTTTCCCAGCATTTGGCTCTCAGCGTGGATTAGATACTGAATGAGAACCATTCAAGAATACTTGAGCCATACCATAAAATGTTAATTAGTTCAGAGAAATTTGCTGGTATGTAAATTGATTTCACATTCTTGTTCGTCTCGACATGAATCAACCATCACCTCTCCACCATGACAATAATTTTAGGGAAGGAAAGGATCGATTGTGCCGACATGAAGTAACCTGACACCAACCTCAGGTTCGCTAAAGGCCCACCTGGCCTTGCATAGATAGCAACCAGAGCAGTCCAACAACAGCCATTTGACAGACACTGGATCCTACTCTTCTGTCTTGATCTGGTATGTGCTCCTGCACCAATTGGCTTGCTATGATCAATACTTTGGAACATGTAGATACAGATACAAATCTCTGGACTCGGATAGAGGCCAGTGGCTGACAGATTTCCTTCCGAGTGACCTCAGAAAAAAAAAGAAGAAAAAAACAATTATGACAGCCTTGCATCCACGTCCACACTAAACAAAACCAAGCAGTCATATCTGACATTCAACATCATGACCTAATTCCAAGCCCTAGAAGTTCACTCTAAGGTTCTTTACAGAGCATAGTCTAAATTTCTTAGTACATTGCAAAATATTCCAAGATCATGGTTGACCAGAGAGAGAACAGCCACTGGGAGTATCACTAGTTATCTTCATTAAATGACTGCAAGTTTCGGAATGTGTGCTAAATTCAAAATGTCCAAGCAAGAATAGAAGAAGAAGAATAGGTATTAGATGAAAACAAAATACACTGACCCCTTGTACTAGTTATCTTCTGAACACAAGTTTCAACTCCGCAATCCATGGGCCAACTTTAATGTCTTGGGTTGTCTAGTTAACTGAAGACAGAGAATGAAGAATGAGTGACAGTTAAACTAATATGAGATATCATATCAATTGCATGGATGGTGCTAAGTGGTAAAATGCAATGTAGTTTGCTCATGTCTGCAGACATCTAAAAGTTCCACATGTGCAGAAGAGTATTTATCAGATGATGGCTGTTAAAAGACCACTGAACCACAGGATCATGTCTGGGAGAAAGACAAGGTTACAGAAGGGCAAAGTTTGAACGACAAATGATTCTAACACTCAAGGGGAATACAAGAAAGACACGTTGATTTGCGATGAGAGTATCAAGTTGCCCACCAACACATGGCAACAGCTCACTTATGGAGATTCTGCTTAGCTGACTTGAGAAAAAAAAATATTAAGCAGTGTTGAACACAAGGCAATCATGAATTGCATGGGGACAAGGTTGAATGAGAAATTGATATCAGGTTCTTTATTGAAGCCCAATCAACCTATGGGGAACAGGTTCAGTTCCCCTGTTCACACTCATGCTGGTTTCATCCACAGCAGAGGAACAGCTAAATGAAAGCAGCTGTTTCAAAGAGCAATTCCTTCTCATGCCCAATCACCATGTATATTCCCATTAGGCCAGTTCTTCAGTCACCAAGTAATCTTTCTTTTTTCAACATGATTCAAAACAAAAGGTACTCATCCATTTTCCAAAATCGAAGATAACCAGCAACCACCAGAATGCATGTTTTATTGTGGTCGTGAGACCCAATATGTGAATGATAGAACCAGCAGAAGGAAGCATCGGCAGATCAACCATTTACCTCGAAGCTCTTGCAGGGATTTGAGGAACATCTTGTGGTTCCCACCAAGCTCGATACAGATTGCCATACGGTTAGATTTCTGATGCCTGTAGAACCACAACAAGTAACATTACCAAGAGAATTCAAGAAATAAATGAAAATTAGAGAATCCACTTAGGATGTCCAACCCAGTTAAGAAGCTCCACATTTATAAATTAGTTTGATTCTCAAGGCTGAAACAACAGCCTGTAAGTTCACAATGCATGACTTGCTTTTCACTAAACCAAGAAATCAGTGAAGTAAAAGAAAATAATGCTCTCAGGAACCAACATTCATTCACCAAATGCTTCCCAGTTGTAATACAAATCTTGGACTAATCCAGTAGATTTAAGTGAAATGCACACACAAGAATTTTGAAAATATATTTCTTCCAAGTACACAATATAACTCAATTTACAGCTAGCAATTTGAGAAATGTGAGTCTAGAATAAGTTGCAAAGAAAATGTCATGTATGTGGGGCACAAAACTTCAATGACGAAGGATTATAGACTTTAAGACAATGTCTACAGTTGTTTTTTGTTTCCACAGTTGACAACATGAACTTGGAGTTCAAATTCACCATGCACTTTCCATTTGTTTATGACTAGGTAGAGTTTCTCTCTGTCAAGCTACTAAACTGCTCACAAGAATGAAGTGATCCATTATTGTGGTCAAAACTGAATTCTGGTTAAAATAGTCATTGTAGTTTCTTGCACATAATGGATCTAGGACAGGTAGGGCCAGCTCACAGAAGTGAAAGGTAGATTTCACCAAACAATTCCTGACCCCAGAATCAGTACCAGTGACACTGAAGATGCAGAGACAGAATTGAAAAGACAATGCTATAATGCTGCACTGATTGAGAAGTGAAGGTTTCTAACATCAAGAAGAGCTGATATGTCCCAATCAAATTCTAGCACAGATAACAGGTCTATGAAATGCTCAGCCACTCAGGCATGCTGATGAACAATAATAGAATTATATGAAGCATGAACCAGTCTCAAGAAGCACTAAATATGCTACTAATCCAACCTAAACTTGCTATCCATTATTTACAACAGAGAAGCAGGCCGTGTGTTTATCTTTATATCCACATCCTTCAGAGAACATGAGCTCACAGCAAATTTGAGACCTCGCAATTCATTAATTACAACAGAGAAGCAGGCCCATGTGTTAATCTTTTTCCCCACGCTTCAGAAAGCTTGCCCTCTTGGAAAATTTAACACCCTGCATGCCAGCTGGAGGTACATCTTCAGTCTGCCAACCAATAAGATGTAGGATTTGTAGACAACTACCACTATAACGAGACAGATACTGACCATTTAAGATTGGATACATGGTCCTTTTCCTGCCATTAAGTAGTATTCAGAGCAATAATGGTAGAAACAACATCGAATCTGATGCAGGCATTATTTTGTCTTTTTTTTTCTTCAGGATAATTTTATTAATTCATTCATTTTTTGCAGATAAAAAAGTCTAACAAGACATTTCTTGATGAAAATTTAGTAAGTTTTTACACTACATTTTATTCATGGGAAGGAGAGTAAGCCGAGTTAAAAACTAAAAGAATAGACTGGAAAAATATGCTTAACTGAAATTTGTATCCATAGTACCAATAAGAAATCATTACTAAAAGTAAGAATGTAACATGAAGATAAAAGGGTGATTTCCCTAAAAAATACCCACATTTTGGGTATTTTCCAATTGGTATCACCATTTTATTTTTTTCTCAAATAGTACTCTTAATTTGAAAAATATTCAAACCGCCCTTCAAAAACACTGTAAAAGGACGATTTACAGTGTTGTTGGCATGTTACAGTGTTTTGGTCACCATAACAAAAACGTTGTAAAGCTTACTTAAAAACATAGTAAATAAACCAAATGGAATCAAAACACACCAAATATTATTTGATATATCATACTATGATTCAAATAGGTATTTAAAATAGCTTAGGAACAATATCACCCAAATAGAAATAAAAAATTACCTTTACAGTGTTTTGCCCACCACAATAAAACATTATAAGACCTACTCGAAGACACTATAAACGATCTAAATGGAATCTAACCCCAACCAAACCAACTAGAAGCCTAAAAATATAGAATCATAAGGTCTATGAGCAATGACAACTAAATAGGTACAATATGATGTCAATTATGATATTTTTCATTAGTGTTTTCAGTATCTCAATAAAATACTATAAACATTGTAAATGATCCAGATGAAAACATTGTAATAGTTTTAAAATGATAAAAATGGGCAAAAATTTTTTGAGGGATATTTTGTGTAATTTTTAAATTAGAGATATTGTTTGAGAAAATGTAAAAGAGGGGTACCCTTTTGGAAACACCCAAAATATGAGTATTTTCTATGGAAATCGTCCAAGATAAAAATTGTTTGCCCTGAGATCCCAGTGTGGTTTTGTCATATAACAATCCAGTACCTGAGCTTCAGCTTTAACGAATAATTTCCATCGTCTCAAAGGCTTCAACACATTTATAAGGGTACCAAAATACATTCATTATCAACTGGTGGACACTTTGATGGAGTCATCGTTTTGTCCTACTTTTAACTTCAAAATAATTTTATTAATATGGGCTTTTTGCAATTGTCATAATGTTATCACAACAATTTCTTTGCAAATATGAACTCTGCCCATGTTTTTGCCTAAGCAAAAGAAAAAAATGAACTAAATAATTGATGATGATTTAAAAGATATGTTTAATTAAAGATATATTCATGGAAAAAATTAATACCTATAATAGACACCTCCCAAAGCATCATTGAAATTATGAAAGATTCTCTGGATATGAAAGATGAGATGATCGAATTCTTACTCTTCGACTAAAAGAATTAGAATTTCTTTTTTATTTGTCGTTGAGGTTAGGGTTTTTATAAGGGGGAATGTTGTGATTGACTAAATGGTAGAATGAATTCAATTTATATTCTCAAATTATGTGGGAGTGGCACGAGGAATCAGGTAGAAAGGTTGTATGTAAATGTGACCCCTACAATCCAAAACTATAGTAATTGATTATTGTGCACAAGAATGCTATGCTGTTCATCCTGACTAGCAACAATTATATGTGAGACAGGAGATATATAGTTAGCAACTGCGTGAAACAGAAACAAATCCTTCCCCAGAGAACATCAACGCATCATGAGTCCATATCAGAACGGAGTTTATGCCAATACCAATTGTGAGATGAATCAATTGTGACGCTTGAGATGATATAACCGAAGAAAAGAAGACTCGGAAACCGAATGTAGATCAATGGATGCGCAATCTTCACCATCTCTCAAATCATAGTAGCGTACATTTCAGCATGTACATAATTTTAACATGCAAAGAACGGGAGACGACTCACGAAAGGTATCTTGGAGGCTTTGTCGTTCAAGACGGCGTGCAAACCGAGCGACGCGAAGAAGCCCAGCCCTTCGCATAGCCACGCTAACGCCTCGTGCTGATAGAAAAGAATCCACAAAAGAGGAACACATACGGATTCATTCTCACAATACATCATTGGAACAACAGAAAGAAGGAAAAACCCCTAATCTTTTGGAGGATGGAAGTTACCTTCCCGATAATGGTAGGAGCCCGATAAGGCGATAGGTCCAGTTCTCGGCCGAACCCGATCGTTGTAAACGGGCAGCTTACAAGATGGACCAAAAACGACATGGATCAGAAACTTGAGTGGGAGAAGAGCTTACGGGCTTGCCGGAGACGATGTGCTTGCCGAGGGAGCGGCCCATACCAGAGCCCGAGAGGATGGCGGGGGCGGCGCAACGGGCCGAGCCGCATCGTGCGTCTGCTTCGTCTGCCGTGGGACGTTGTTCCGCTCGCAGATGCATGCGACCGGAGGTCATCCCTTCGACCTTTTAGTCGAATCCAAAATCAACTGGATCCTCGGGGACTGCGGTAGCAAGGGCCATATCGGGTCGTCTCCACCTGCGAACGTGAATCCAATAAAATATTGTGGATCCGGATCCGAGAACGGCTACAGCGTGTCTGTGACCATGTTTCCGAGTCCACTGACACACGAACTCAAAGGACCATGGGCTGACAGCCCATACTAACAAGAGACGGCTATGACGGAATCTCAAAAGCATGCAAATCATAGAATAAATGTCCGGCAGATACACATTGAGAATAATAGGTCATTAGGGCAGATGCAAGAATCTTCATAATATTATACTGAATACCAGCAACAACTCAAAATTTAGAGCAAGGATGCCTTCTGAGATGCATTGTTTAACTGATTGAAATTTTAATGACAACCTCTATAACCAACAGAAATCGGACATGATGCATTAGATCCTGCACCAACTCTAAAGGTCAATACAGAAACTGAAAATCTTTACTTAGATAGCATAAGAATAAATGAAATATAAAAAACAAGATTTACTTGAGGTAATGCCTGGAGTAAACATGATGGTTGGTAAGACCAGAATAACTGTCATTGAGAAAAAAAAAAAAAAGTTACCTTGCTGTATTAGGAGCCATATTCTCAAGACCATTCATTCTAGAAAATAGATTAGACACTCCATTCACATCTTTAGGCAAATCATAGCCAATCTTAAACATGCTGGGAAATCAGCTACTAGAAAAACAATGAGATCAATGGCTTGATCACTCATTTTTTCTGAATGCAAGTTGAGATAGGAAACCATCACTGAGGTATAGCGAGGAATTGACATGCACTGACGACCCACGTGAATTCTGAATGCCAGCAACTTTGTGAAGGACATAAAGAAGGCAGTTGTGGAAGTTTATCCATGAATGATAAAGGCATCAATGAGGTTTTGAGAGGATAAACACACGGTGATGACCGATGCGAGCTTCAAGAATACGGCCGAGATGGCGAAGGACCTGTAAGTCACAGTTACGGGAATTAGCCCATTTGGTAACACTCTCTGGCAATCATGCATCAGTAACACCTAATTTTGCTCCAAACATATTTTGCCAACAAAAGTTCCAATATTTGGAATATTGATCTTAGCATATCCTCTTGCTGCTAATATATATGAAAAACTTGGTACCAAGTCCTAATAACTGTAACAGGCCAACATGCACCAGCAATTTCATGCACAAAATTTATAAAAAAAAAGACTTAAGGCTCCCGTCAATACAAGATCTAAAAAGAGTCAATATATATAACCTTATCTTTTAATATTTAAAGAGATTGTTTTCATGAATTAGATCCTAATCTTGACAGGTTGCAAAGGAGCAACCTCATCATTATTCCAAGATCCGCCCTCAAATTTCATGTGCAAAAGTAAACCGATAAAATAAAAAAAGAGGAGAATCCTGAAATAAGATACACAGACAATGATTTCACAACTAGATACGTTGGACTAAGTAGTTTAAATTTATAAGCAATATCAGCGAGGCAGAAAATTAATAGATAATGTAAAAACATCAGGACGACAACTCAACCAAGTCATAGTCGCATTACAGCTGGTAGTACAAGTATGACAGAAATTAGCACCTGTTGCTGTGTTCTAAGGCCCAAACAGTTTCATGATTGTTATGGGATACCATGTGAACACGATATATAGATGAAAAGAGGTAGCCATCACACTTTATACCAACACATGCAGGTTGACATACTCATAGCCAGCAGGATATATGTATCATACATCACATAATGCAAATTACGGAGTTCAACTGTGCACCTGGGAACATGACAGCAAGCACATAATTCCAACGAGAGAATTAGAAGTATGATGAGAAAATAAAGGAATGTATAAGTAAATATGCAAAGTTAATTGTATTCTCATCTATAGAACCCACAGACAAGAGACATATTGTCAGACCTAATCCAACCATCTAGAGTCCACAATACTGATCCCCAATGATAAACTTGGGAAGCACAATTAGAGATTTCATTATGACTAGATAACTTACTGTCAAAATTGCTTTTCCCGTATTGTCAAGTTTCAGTCCTGGTCCTTTTATGTCTGTTTCCAGGAAAAAGTGCTTGCCTTTCACTGCTTCAGTTGTTGCTATGTCTCTTAGTTCCTGCATTTTAACAACAACAGTAGCAAACTTGTGTAACATTGAACAGACATACAAATTCAGCACAAAATGTGATACACGCGTTCTTCCCACATGGGTTACAGTTTACACATTGCCACACAGGAAAAATGTATAATAGCCAGCTGAATCTACTTACAAGAGCTTTTTCCCAGGTGTCTTCAGCTAGCTACATGAAAACAAGAAGACACGATAAACAAATGGCCAATAGGAAGACGCCAAGCTTATTTATTATACTGAGCAACACAAACCTTCTTCTTTGGGCATGAGACGAGATGAGAATTTGCTTCTGCATACATAGCTATCTCATTGATAGCAATATTGACCTTGTCCAAAGTAAGCCTTCCCCTCATATAACTGCAATTGTTAAGATGGAAAAATTGAATTTGGTTTCAAATGATACGTGATTTGCTTATCAAGCACATACAATATCTTTCAATATCCATATGAGATTATAAATATTTATTACTAGGGACCCTGGTATGTCATTCAACTTCTTTTCAGAACATCTGAAATCAGGAAAGAGTATGGATTATGTAACCTATTTTACCTGACTTAAATAATTTCAACTTGTGTTTTGGTTCCTATCTTTCTGCCTAGTTAATTTCAATGACAGATCATTTTTCCACATCAACATACCATAAATACCAGCCTTTTCCAATTGTCCTCAGAACACCAGAGGTCTTTCGCAAAACCAATGAACTCCAACTCCATGTATTTTTAGATTTATTATCTTGGAACTCAGTTCTTTAATTTTCATTACCGGATTAACTAAGAGACACAAAAAACAGATAATCTACAACATTAAAATTGACAAGAGATAGAAACAATGAGAACCAAGAAGAAATATACCAACATGGTGCAGAAGAAATATACAAAGTAAATTTGAGGATAGACTTACGAAGACAGTGAATCCAATTCCTCGGCAGAAATATACCACCGCGGTGCAGGAGATGGACCCTTCTTCCCCTACATGGGAACAATGCATCTGTTAATTGGAGAACAAACATAACTATTTCTTGGAAACAGTTGCACAAAGTTATTTGATCTTGGCGCAATCGTGATGTTAGACTAGAATCTTGTGAATTACGGAAGTAGCACTGTTTATGGTCAATACAAAAGAGAAAAGGCCTCAAATAAAGCATTCTTTTATAATGTCAACTCGAGGCTTGCTGATTTCAGCCGCTTACTGGTGATAAACACTGTAATCATGATGCAAACATTAAGAATAAGCTTTACGACGAACAGATGAGGGGCAGTCTCTTACCTTGAGCATAGCAACAGGCTCCTCCTTGAGATGACAAGGCTCGTGCAATATATCGGGACCCGAATCATCAGGCACCAAGCTGAAACCAACAAACCCAATTCCTTTGAAGAATCTTCGTTGCAAAACTATATTTGAAGAAGAAAAAGAAAGGTTAAATGAACAATAAATAAATTGGTCGCCAGAAGAACTACCTCGAAGAGGGGTTTTGAACCGATCGGCTTTGGTTCTTAAGCATCGAAGGCGGCATATGGGCGAGCATGTGCTGCAGCTTTCTTTGCTGCCGCTGGGACAGATCGATGAGTTTCTACACCCGAACAAAAGTAGGAAAGAAAGAGGTGAAGAAACCGACACGATTCGCTGGAGATTCGATGGAATTCAAGAAGAAAAGAGACCTTGGCCTTAGGGATAGCGTTTCTCTCCTCTTGTAGTCGGTCCTTGATCGCCTGGATCTGCGACTCCATCGTCTTCAGGGTCACGTCGACCGCCGACAGATCGGGCATGCTGGTGGAGGGATACACTGCCCAACAGAGTAAGAAAGAATTTAAGCGATTCGGCGGTGGATTTCTTCAAAGGAAGAAAAGGGAAACGGGAAGAGAGAAGAGAAAGTGGGGGATGGCGAACTGTTGCGGGCGATGACGAGCTCCTGCAGTTCGACGATGCGGGTGTGGAAGGAGGAGACGAGGGCGTCGAGGGAGGATCCCGCTTGCATCAGATCCATCGCCGCTACCGGTCTTCCGAGTCCCCACTTCTTTCTCTCACTCAGTCCTCACTCTCTCGCCGTTCCCAAACCAAACCTTTTGAATGCGTTGCTGCCGCTTACTGGTTGGGAGGGAAACTTCTAATTGTTTGCTGATCTATCCGTCTTAAATAAGAAATTTCTTAAATGCGCCCCTAAAACGTAACTTTCTTGCAAAAAATCCCTTCTATTCCGTAATACCAGGTCAAAAGACTGGTTTACCCTTTTTATTAGGGGATGTGTCAAACAGGTAATTTCCTAAGATCATTAATCTTTTTCTTGTGTTTGAAAGGTTATTTTCGCAAAAGCAACAAATCAGGAGCACGATTTTAGAAATTATTATGGGCATTTTGTTAACTCGTGTATATGTTCCAAAAGATGTATACCTTCGTCGTGACATATTTCTCTTCACGTGGGTCGGGTTCTCCGAATCACTCATCTCAGGCACATTTGGTCTTGCGCCTTTGTCGTGACAAATTTCTGGATCAAGTTTTCCCAACTCACATGCTTTAAGTACATTTGGCCTTGTACCTCCATCGTGACGGATTTCTTTTCATGCGAGTCGGGTTTTCTCGACTCAAGGGTCTCAGGCACATTTAACCTTATGTATCTGTTGTGGTGGATTTCTCTTCACATCAGTCAGGTTTTCTTGATTCACACACCTCATGCACGTTTGGCTATGCACCTCCACCATGATGGATTTCTCTTCACACGGGTCGGGTTTTCTCGACTCAGCGCCTCAAGCACATTTGATCTTACGCTTCCATCGTGATAGATTTCTCTTATGCGGGTCAGGTATTCCTCACTCATGTGCTATGGGCATATTTGGCCTTGTGACTCCGTCGTGATGGATTTCTCTCTATATGGGTTAGTACTACTATCAAAAGCCTCCAATGATGAGAGGTGAAAGTTAGCCAGGATCAGCTCCTCTTGAATGTCTTTGGTGAATGCGATCAAACCGATATGGGGTTGGTCGACCTTTCGCTTTTGGATTGTTAGAATTCTTGTCGTATCTCTTATAAGTGTTAGTCTATTCATCATAGTTGAATCCTTAGGGAATCATTCATCGAATTTGCCAACTTGATCAGGGATTTAAGTGGAGCAGAGTGGTGGTGTGGTGGTCCATTGAAGTCTACGATTGGGGAGTAGAGTGCTCCCTCGGCCGACGGTTCGATGGGCCTCAAGCACTCTTGAGATGTTGTATTACGTCGAGTTGCGGGACCTCGATGGGTGTTGATGCTGGTGATGGTTAACCTACTGACCACAGTTGAGATGATGGCATTACTTGTTGGGCTAGCTTGGGAAAGAGTGAAGCAACAGCTTGCATCATGCCCATTAGTATCTACACCTGCTGGGTGAGCTTTAAGAACATCTCAACGAGGATGAGTAGATGACTCGGGGTCGCTCTTGGGCCGTAGAAAGGATACTAGTATTGCATTGGCGTTTGTGTCAAGGTAGATACATCCACGTATGGAAAGGTTAGCTACTGCCCCCGAGTGAAAATATTGTGGGTCAGGGGGCAAGGCCTCCTTGCTTAGGAGTTCATTAAGAGGATTGGTAGGCAGATATTCATGTGACAACGGACCCTTCTTTTAGCACCAAAATGTTAGAAAAAAAAAATATTAATATCCTAACTAGTCTGACGTAGTCCGGACCCATATGTGCAGGATTGCCCGAGGTGCCTCCAAGCAAGATACTAAGCTCCCGAGATGCCACCCACATAAAGACCGATGTTGAGAGAAGTTTCTTGACCCGATTAATCCGACATCCAAATTAATAACCCCAAGTCTAAGAGTCTGGATGCAAGTAGCAAAAAAAAGATCACTCTCCTCTTTATGCTAAGGATATATTTTTTTATCTGATCATAGGGGATAAAATATTTCATAAAATATTCCGGATAGGGGGAGAATAATCTGTGAAATATTTTTTGGACTCTTGTCCAAAGTGGGTTGATGAATGGAAAGCCATATCTCATATCACCAGCTTCTCATCCCTCAACCTTCTTTTCAAGATACCGACTAATATAATCAGTAAAAACTTTGACAAATGATTATAAAATTTTAGATTCCAATAATACCCGGTAAATCCATTTATCATGTGAGGAGAAAACAAAATATTTACCAGCCATCAACTTTCTACTCAAATCATTTGTAATTGAGTTTAGCATTTCACCTTGCATCAATATCTTAATACCAAATATTTCAAGAAGTTCTTGAGGCGGAATTCTACTTAAAATCTCTCTCTCTCTCTCTCTTGCTAACGCAACCTCACGCGACACATAGACATTACCCATCTCGATCCTTCTTAATAATACATATGAATTAACTAACACCTCAAATCTTCGCATGTGAAATCGAATGAGTGCAAGAAGTAGGTACAGGTCTATATCCCTGAAATAAATGCATGAAGTAGGTGCAGGTATTCATTAACCATGTGCCTTTGCACCCTCGAAGAAGACGTGGTGGAAGAAACATGCCAATGGTGACCCGTGCAAAGATCCCTCTTGTTGTTTTCGAAGCAGCCCAGCATGGAAACTCTCTGCCTTCACATTCCATCACCATCTATCATCCTCAACTATTCATCTTACAGATAGAAGATGCACAACTCCCATCTATCATTCAACAATATATTGTACAACCATACGAGTTACAGTCCGTCGCAGCAAATAAAATGCACGGATACCTGTATATGTACAACCATAAGAAGGGGTCTCCGGTCGCGTAAACAGAGCAAAAGCTACTCGACAAAGATAAAGATGAGGTATCGAAGTGGTTTATCAGTTGTGAGAGGGGGGATTGGTCGTCGGTCCAACGTAATCCGCATCAAACCCTGGATGCTCCTTTGCTCCACCTCGAGGCACAGGCCATGTAACCTTAACGAGCGTGGAGGCTTGAAGGGCACCTGAGACGCCTTCGTTCTTCCCCTTGACGTCCTCTGTGCGTTCAACAGTCGAGAAGCCTTGTTTCTTCTCGAGTGCAACACCTTCCGATGACGTCGATTCTGCGGGATTTCCATGGACTGAATTCTCATCCGGAATCACCTTCGCAGAAACCTAAACAAGAGACACGCTAAGGTTACAGTCATCCTACGTATGTAATCAACAAACATGATCGATGATCACCAACCTTGCTGGATTCATTGTAACGACTGCTTGGATCTTTGGCATGCATCCTTAGATGCCGGGCATTGCATGCGTCGACGGAAAGAGCTAACAGGAGGGTGAAGAGAAGAGCAACAGAAGGCATGTCTGTTGTGCTATGGGTTGAGTTGATGATGCGTACGAGTATTTGTAAACCATGGCATTAACTGCGGTCCTGCATGGCATCGAGGTGAAGTGGTGGTAGTGTCGCCTCTAAGAAGACACGGAGGACTGCAGGTATCGAGAGAGAACTTCGCGACGGAGATATGGAGGACTGCATTGCTTTGTCTTGTCCGTCGGCTTCTCTAATTCCTCCTCTCGATCTGTGTCTAACGAGTTCTTCGAGCGAAGTTATTGTTGTACGGGTTTGCGGAGAAGCGCGGGGCCCCACCGATCACCGACCATGCCTGCTCGTGGGACCCGACGGCCCCTTCTCAGGTTGGGCGACGGAGCGTGGCGGCAACGAGGTGAGGAGAGGAAGCGGGGCCGTCGAAAATGACGGCGCGAGGTCGACCGCTAACGGTCACCGGAATCTGGCGCGCGTGGTCGGTGAATCCGTGTGGGTCCGACGGGATCGATGGGAGAATGGCCCAAAATAATTAACCAAAATTAAGGATAGTAAATTCATCTAATCCTTATAGTTTATTCAAGTCTTCCTGCGATTAAAACGGAAACGAAATCTCAAACTCCTAAAAGCCAGTCACTACTAATCTTCTTCAGCACGGTCGGCTTCGACGATGGCGGCCTCAGCCTCGGCATCCTGCACCTCCTTCTCCGTCTTCTTCCCTTTCTTGGACTTGTAGTACACGTTCATGAAAGTGCCAATGGCGCCGTACTTGCGACGGCAGTGCTCGTAGTGGGACGCGTCGAACATCCTCCAGAAGTTCTTCTCGGTGAGCTCCGAGACGGAGTACTGCGCCTGGAAACCGTGGTTCTGAATCATCCACTCCTCGAGCTTGCGGACAACTTCGGCGCCGTCGAACTCCTCCCCCCTGAACACGGGACCTGGAGCATAGTACAAACCGACGTCGGTGAACATTTGGGCGAAGCTCGTGTCTCCCTGCCGGTGATGGTCCTCGAAGCCTGTTTCTGGATGCACCATCGTCTTCAGAGGAAGCTTGAACAGCCGATGGGGGCAGAGCCATACTGGATATAGCTGCAAGACGATTCAGGTTACTTAGTACTAGCTTAAAGATTCACAGTCTCAAAGACAGATCCAAGAAGGTACCTCCGTTTCACAATGGCAAAACTCGAGAGCATCTGCAACTTTGTACAGAGGAATCAGGAGATCCTGGATCACATGCATGTCATGGTAATAGTTCCTGATAGCTTCACCTTGGGTGGCCTTGAGCAAGGAGACCTTTGGCGGCATCAACCAGCCCAAGAACCATCTGAACCACCACTGGTCTGCGCATGGCAGGATCAGCTTCCCTTCCCAGTACAGAGATCTGGTATGCCTATGGTAATACTCTCGGGTGGGTATGTACTCCACGAACTCTCCCCTCTGCAGCGCTGTCTGTGCATGCTGGTAAAACCAGGGCTTGAACCACCACCCTATGCTGTTGATGACATTGCCCTTCTTCTTGGCTTCTGCCTCGGAAGCATACTTCCCGGTCATGCAGACAGCCTCGGTGGGGTTATAGATCATCGTCTCAACGAAGTCCGGAACCCTTGATGAATCCCCATCTCTGGGAGCAAACGAGTCTGCATAAGCCTGCGCGAGTTCCTTCAAGGTTCCCCGGTGCGGGGTGTAGATAACCTTCATGTATTCCCTAACAGGTATGAGTTTGATCTCTGCAGAAACCATGAGACCCAGAGTTCCTTGAGACCAGGGGATCCCGTAGAAAAGATCGGAATGCTCGTTGTCCTTGGTACACCTCACAAGTCGGCCGTCGGCAAGCACAACCTCCATGGCGACGACCGTGTCAGAAAAGAGCCCATACAAGTGTGAGCTCCCCTCGATTCCATAACCATTGATAAGGCCACCCACAGTGAGATCGTCAAGCTCTGCAACGACCGCAAGCGAGAGGTTCATGGGAATCGTAGCTCGGGTGATCTGACCCATATTAACAAGCGGCTCCACCTTAGAGATCATCCGCTCCTTGTCGATCTCAAGAATGTTCCTGAACGCAGAGAGATCGACCTCGAAATGTCTTGCGCGCTTGTAATCGACATTACGCATGCCAACCGCGATGTATGGTTTCCTGGCCGTGCACACGAGGCCATCCTTCGTTGGATCTCTCTGCTTGAGGCGCTTGATAACTTTGAGAACGTTCTCCTCATGTTCTTTCCGGCGACGCTCGTCGGACTTCATGGCAGATCTCACATGGCCAAGAAACAGTCTGAAGTAGATGAAGCAAGAGACGGGAAGCACCACAAAGACGACAACGATCCATCGGAACCGGACCAGATAGTCCACCAAAACTTTCTTTCTTTTGGGACGCAGAGGAGCTTCCACACCAGACATGATTCGTACCTGAGTTTCGATTTCTATCACATATGAGATGGTAGAAGGATGATGTTTGTAATTGACACCACGGACGAAGTATGCTCTGTTGGGCTGACAACCCATGTGGGCTTTATCAGCCCACAGCTCACAACCCCTCTTAATTTAATCCTAGATCAATATAAGGAGGGTATGGTAGCTGCGTTTTTGGCAAAGAGGTAACTACGTTTTTTGGCAAGAAAAGAGCAGTAACATGGTGATCTTCGTAGCAGCAAAGAGAAAAAGAAGGAAAGAAAACAAAGACAACGGAGAGAGATTGTTCTCAATCATCTAGCAGTGTTCTCATCTCAAGTTAGATCAAATCTATAGTAGACTCTTGCTGTGATTACTTAGGGAGGTTTTAGATATCGTGGACAGTGACGTGATCCTTGTATCCCAGTTGTTCTCTTGTGATTGTTGCTAGGGTTTAAGGTAAGAGATTGAGATTTATATATTCATTATTCTTATAGTGGATTATCTCTAGTTTACCCTATGGTTTTTACTTTTCACATTAGAGGGATTTTCCATGTATATCTTGATGTTCTATTTGATTGTGATTTTATTTAATTCCGCTGCATATCATGGTTTGCTAGTATTTGTTTATATACAAAGGAGGCAATAGATACTAAACTTAAAAAAGTTAAGAAGAAGAAGATGGGGGATAAAAGGAAACAGAGACTTCTATCCAAATTCCATAAAACAAATCAAAGCATGATGTGAATGTGCAAAAGGGAGTAAACAGCAAGCACGCACATATCAAGAAAGCTTCTTGCCAAATCAAAGATGGTCAAGCTAATTTCCAACAACATCAGTGAAACAGAATGTAAACTTTGACCGGAAGGCATGAAGGCAAGAACACCACCAGCCACGAAACAGAGCTTAGATTTCGACCGTAAAGCAGAACACTGCGAATCACCAAAGAAAGAAACTTTGCTACTGGTACGATACCTTCGAATTGGGGGAGTGAGGGGCAGCAGACCTGATCAAGGAGGGAGGAAGGCGACCACCGTGGCTTGTGCTCCCAACGAGGTTTGATAACCAGCAAAGCTGCCCACAGTCGCAGGCTTTTAAGATTCAATGTATGATTTAAAGCGCAGTGGATCTTCTTTCGATCGAACATTATGGTAGAGTGGCATTTGCATTCAAATGTACCCAAAAAAGAGAGCTTTAATGTGAAATTATGATGCTGAGAGACATCTTTATGTGAATTTACTTTCAATGATCATCCAAGAAGATTTTTGGATCTGCTTTCCTAACCTATCAACTGTGTAATAGTACACTAACCGAGGGGTGATGTATCGCGAATCAATGGTTGCAGTTGATTGAACTGATCACTTAGATGTGAAACCACAGCTGATCAACAACATCATTTGGATGTGGTTGAGCCATCACAAGAAAGAGTCACAAAGCAGAACACAATCTTTGCATCCAAACCTTTGCTGAGCAGGTCATTCATTAATACTGCACAATACAATCACACAAAGACACCTGTGGAAGAAGTGAAACCCATATCCACACAAATGGACGTTATAAATACTGTTCTCCGAAGACATTTATGGTGTTAATTAAGTTTCCTATATCAGCATTCTTCTGATGCTGGACTTCAGTAATCTTAGGAATACGAGTTAGTAGATGGTTCCGACAAGCCTTTGGTATGGAAACACTCTTATCGATGTAAATGCATGTGTGCTGATTGCAACTCCGTGGTGAGGGCAAAGGATGAGTTCGTCTTCTTCCTTTACCGCCTGAATCATATGCGCTCTGAGGCTGACTTCATGCATCTGTCAGAAAAGTGGCTTACCATCAGCATCAGCTCAACTCAGATCAAAACAATGTCAGCAACAAGCAGTGACCAACCTCCAGTGAAGTGACACTTGTACACATCTCCATCAGTTCCTCCAACCCTTGTATTTCCAGTCGTATTGTTTCCACCAACTCGTACAGCATCGTGTCGATGTCTCCGACCTGATTCGCCGAGACAGAGGAAGGAAGGTTAGAGGAAGAGATGAGCCGTAGAACCTCCCATGGTTGACAACATAAACCGCACCTTTGCGTAAAATACGCCGGCGGTGGCGGCAATGTCTGTCATGGCCTCCATCGATGAGCTCAAGCAGCGACGAAGTGATACCGAGTTGGCCTGCACGGGGAATGCAGATGACTCGTGTTCCACAGACTCAGGAAACTGAGAGAGCAGAGCTTCTCTTACCTCGGCGCCTTCTACCAGAGGAAGCGAGAAGGCAGCAGCGCCCAAGAGCCTCACGAGCGTGGCCACAGCGTCGACGTGCTTCTTGGCGTGCGGTTCCCACTGGCTCAGGAGACGGAGTTGGGGACGAAGGATCTGAGGCAGCTTCATCTTCTGCTTCCGTCGTTGAACCAAGATCCGCTTGGCCGCCACCAGATTCCTTAGCTCGTAGATTCTTAGCCACGCGTAGAACAGCTTCTCCTGCAGATTTAGCCGCAAAACTATAAGCGGAGGCTTTGCAGCAAATTTAGTGTGGAGTTGTCGCAGATTAAGTTATGTAGTAGGACCCATCTGAAATTACAGAGGATCAAGCATCTCCGTGGTCGCGTAAGGAGTCTCTTGTTCGGGAACAAACAGCAGAACCCTGAAAATTTCAAAAAGGGCCAAAGAAGGAAAATAAGGAGAAAAAGGCTCGCCCTCTCTCACCTCGGCGTTGCACCGGGCGGCCTCGACGGCCGCCACCGCACGAGCGTTGGCGAACCTCCACTGGATCAGTCTCGACGTCAGAAGCCGCAGCTGGTGCGACTCTTCCTCCCCCGGTGCAGCCTCCTTCCTTCTCCGGAATAATCCCAACACCCCGCCTCCGCCGCCTTTCTTCCCGCCGGCAGTGACCACGGTCGCTGCGCGAGACGGGTCCGGCGACGGCTTCGATTGGCTGGGCGATCGTGCCCACGCCGAGAACCCGGTCTTAGTCTTTCTTGCGTCGCGCTGGGCAGGGGCGGAGGTGGACCGCGGGGGCGAACGGCCGGGGGAGAGGGCCCAGGCGGAGGGAGCTGTTCTCGGCTTCCTCAAGCTGGCGGGAGGGTCCGGCGGAGGGAGTCCACAGGAGATGCTCTTGCGGTTCTCCTTGGAGAGGCAGCACGAAGTCGCGGAAGGGTCGGTGACTTGGGGGCGGTGTTTGGCGGCGGAGTGGGAGCGGGTGAGCGCGGCCGGCGCGGAGTTGGAAAATGAGGAGAACAAGGGAACGGACTGCCGGGATGGAGAGGCAGGGCGGCGGGTGAGGCCGCAGGCGCCGCTTCGGCTGCGGAGGAGGAGAGGGCTCCGCGGGGAGGGCGGGCGGGCGTTCTCCATTGGCTTCGCTTTGTGTTGCGTTTGCGCGGCAATGCAACATGTAAGGGCAGAGTCCACAATAAACACCCTCCAAACTGTTCCAAAATTACACCTTTATTCTCCTCATATTTTTCTTCATCGTTAATATAAATAATTCGTACGTTTTTTCTCGAACGAGACGTACAGCTTCCAAGCTACATAAATCGCTAAAAACAATTCTGAAGTAAACGCATTGTCCACACAGATAATAAATCTAGAAAATTTCCCAATATAAAATATAAAATAAACGTAAACAGGAGGCACGCACAGGGGCTGAATGGAAAATACGGCGGGATGAGGAGGGTAAGGTGGGAATCGTGGAGGAAGTCGAGAGCACGTCGGCGGCGTAGGTGAGGGAGAGCGACTCGGAGCCCCGTGGAGTGCTCCCACGACCTAAAAGCTTTTATTAGCAGCGCGCACGTTACGATACTCGTGGTAATCAGAGCGAGATGTCAACATTGCTCGAGCTCCTCCGTCCCTTTCTCCCTTATTGGATATGTACCGGAAGAGAGTACGTTGTTGTCCACAAACCTAGAAAACAAGACCAAGAAAAATAACAGGGAAATCTAAATCTAGGGAGAGAACTGTTGTTCCTTCGGAGACTACCTCTTATGGCTAATTGATCGCGAAATCATACATACATATGTATGTATATACTTTGATGAACGGCGATCCTTTCGTTTATTGTAGACTTCATCTCCTTCTTGTGCAAGATGGCACAGCAACTTGAAGTTTAGGTTATTTCAGCTTCGGCGGCGTCGTACTTGAAACTCGATCGATGTCGCAGGTAAGGCATCACATTGCGGTGATGGATGAGACGACGAGTGGGGCTTTGCTTCTTATTCTTGCAGAAAAGATGTTTATGAGAACGATGGATTCCGAAGGCTTACTTGGGGGCTGCTCACAAAAGGTCACTTTGCGATGAGAGCTTCTCCTCCATTTTGACTACTGTTTCACCTACTACAATTCCCTTGCCGACAGTAGTGGAATGTCCACTTCTTGCCCTGCCCAAAGAAGGGTGGCGAGGGCTTGTCGTTGGGCCTCTCATGCTTCGATAAGCCTCGCCATGGTTGATGTATCATCATAATTGGTGTGTTCGCTTGACAAATCATACACCCTACATTCCTGACGTATCAAAGTTGATGCAACATTCACATGATGATTGATTAATGTGATCAAACTCGAAATAGGTACGATGTAATTAATGTATCTTCCACCTCCGGTTGGCTGGGAAGATCAACTGACACCAGAGAATGAGGCTGCACTGTGATCTCATTCTCGTCTCTGAGTCACCCCGTGACGCTTTCTGCTGCTCTCTCCCTGCTGTCATTCCCTGCCAAAATATCTTCCTCCAACGCTCCCAAACTCGTTGTTTATCTGCTGCTGCCATGCGACGCCACCGCGCAGGCTACCTTCCAAAACACTACACGCCATGCTCCCTTGGCTGAATCCCATCCCTCTCCTCTCACCCTGGAGGCGACCGTTGCAGGTCCCTGAAGAGCTCAGGAAGGTGTAGCTTTTGTTGCCATCTTCTCCCTCTGTCTTCACGTCGAGAGCCGCTCTTCGTCGAGTCACATGATGCGCTACCGTAATCCTTTCGAGGTCGTCCTCACGCGAGCAAGTAGACAAACTGCACTACGGGTTGTGTCCTTATCAGTTTGTCCTCCCATCTCAGCTCACTACCGTTGGGTCGACGACCGTTCCGAGATCGTGTTCTTGTTCTTATAGTCTGGAATGGAAGCCGCATCGATCGCCATTGTCATTGCAACTGAAGCTAAAGTACTCTCTCTTCTGCTCTTTAGAAGTTGGTTCATCCATGGGAGCATCTCCAAGCATGTTCTTCCTGGTCATCTGCCTGTTTGTCTCAGTGCACTCCAGTGCATGCGAGCTCGGTTCCACCAAGCAGCACCGGCGGCACGAGTGGTACTTCAAGCCAACCGGCAAACAGACCATCGTGGTGGACGCCAATGGCTCCGGCCATTTCTCGTCCGTCCAAGAGGCCGTTGACTTCGTCCCGGAGAACAACACCAAGCGTGTCGTCATACAGATTCATGCTGGTCATTACACGTGAGTAGTTCTTCGTCTCTCTACTCTCAGCAAGCCTTACAGAAGCTTCCTCTGTTTGTTTTCGGGTTTGCAGGGAGAAGGTGATCGTGCCGGCGACGAAGCCATATGTGACGTTCCAAGGGGCCGGCAGGGACGTGACGGTGATCGAGTGGCACGACCGGGCGAGCGATCGAGGACCTGACGGGCAACAGCTACGGACTTATAACACGGCTTCTGTCACTATTTTTGCTAGTTATTTCAGGGCTAGGAATATTAGCTTCAAGGTGAGTGCTTCTTTTAGAGACCTAACGATCTCAGTCCCTTTCATCCGCATCGCATCGCCGGAGACCGATGGCCGGAGGTTGATTCCTGGAGCACATACGTTCTTAGGTTCAGCTCAGCTCTGTTTCGGCTTTAACCAGCTATCCAAAGAGCAATGAAATGAGTCAAACCCCTTGCCTATTGATTTCTCACTTTTGCCCTCCTTGACTATGGTGATCAGCTCAGCTCATCAACTCGACGGCAGAGCATGACAGATCACTTGGCCTTTGCTGCAAAAAGCTAATTGGTTGGATGTTTGGAGTTGATTCGCTGAGATGACTAACGTGAATGCATGTCCATCGTGTGTTGTGAATGGCAGAACACAGCTCCGGCTCCAATGCCGGGCATGGAAGGATGGCAAGCAGCAGCGTTCCGCATCTCGGGAGACAAGGCGTACTTCTTCGGCTGCGGCTTCTACGGCGCCCAGGACACACTCTGCGACGACGCCGGCCGCCACTACTTCAAGGATTGCTACATTGAGGGATCCATCGATTTCATCTTCGGCAATGGTCGTTCCATGTACAAGGTAAGCAACCCCTCCCGTGATCCATCTTTGCTGCTCGCTAGCTGGTTCTGAGAAGGAACACGACTGCAGGATTGCCAACTCCACTCCATCGCAGACCGGTTCGGGGCCATCGCAGCTCAGGACAGGAACAGCCCGTGCGAGCGGACGGGCTTCGCCTTCGTGAACTGCAGAGTAACCGGCACGGGCAAGCTCTACGTAGGACGAGCCATGGGGCAGTACTCGAGGATCGTCTTCGCCTACACCTACTTCGATGACGTGATCGCCCCCGGAGGCTGGGACGACTGGGATCACAACAGCGACAAGAACCAGTAATTAACCCTCTGTCATCGAGCACAAGAACAACCACCAATCCGCTGGAAACTAAGACTCTCGTTTCTCTCTGTTCTTGCAGGACGGCGTTCTTTGGAGTCTACAGATGTTGGGGTCCTGGTGCAGCAGCAGTGCGTGGGGTTTCATGGGCTCGAGAGCTCGATTTCGACACGGCTCGACCTTTCCTCGTCAAGAGTTTCGTGAATGGAAGACACTGGCTTGGCCCTTCCGATCCTTGAGCTCTTGACCCCTACACTTGCAGTAGCAGCTCTTACAACCATTTGTTATTCCTACACTTCCAATTTGTATTCGAACCATGCAATAAGATGTCAAACCTCGCTCTCTCTGTTCTCGTTCAAGAAGACAGAGCTCCATGGCAATGAAGGAAACAGAACTACTTTTATCTGAATCACAAGCAAATCGTTCTAAGCCTCAGCACAAAAAGAAATTATGCTACAGTTTGCAGTCATGGCAAACTGAAAACAGCAGTTTTGTGTGCATAAAACCTGTGTTGACTCACCAAGAAAAGGAAAATTGATGCTTGCATTTGAACTGAGCCTCTTCCCCAACCAGACAAAGGTGTTCCGAGTGAGTCACAGAATCCCAAACTGTGCATGTCCTTCCATGGCTGCATATGGCACCAACACCAGAGCGCTACTTGTTCTCACGTGAAACTGGGAATTTGCATGGGTCCAATGCTTAGAGTTCCTCCTTATTTGAACTCCTCTGTATCACCTATTTGAAACCTGGCCATCTTTCCCTCCCACCCCATTTGTCTTGAACATGGCTCCTCCACTCCATCAGTCTCCCTCCCTTGTCATGGCCTCGTTAACTTTCCTCGCCCTCCTCAACGCTTGCTTCTGTTCCAATCCGAAACACCCCAAGCTTTCCACCTCAACATCAAACTGGCTTCCTGCAGGAGCTACGTGGTATGGGAGCGCTAATGGTGCTGGAAGCGATGGTAAGGTTCTTCTCCATATAATGTTATCCTTCGTCTACTGTTGCAGAGAGCCATGTGTGTGATTCCAGGAGGTGCTTGTGGCTATGGAGGCGCGTTGGAGAAGCCTCCTTTCTCATCCATGATATCCGCGGGAGGCCCCTCGCTGTTCAAATCGGGCAAGGGATGTGGCGCTTGTTATCAGGTACCAACGAAGACCTCGAATTCTGCAAGCCCTTTTGCTTCTTGGAAGTGCCCAAGTGTCGTCCAACCCCGTGGCAGGTGAAATGCACCGAGAACGCAGCGTGTTCCGGCGATCCAGTTACCGTGGTGATCACGGACGAGTGCCCCGGCGGTCCATGTCTCGAGAAGTCTGCCCATTTCGACATGAGCGGGACTGCGTTCGGGGCCATGGCGTCCTCTGGTCGAGCTGACGAGATTCGAAATGCTGGTGTGATGACAGTGCAGTACGCAAGGTGCAAATTCTCCACTCCACCATCTGCAATCTTCTTCCACGCATGCTATTGTACCACCGGCTTACCACTTTCCTCCGAACAGAGTCCAGTGCAGCTACCCAGGCTTCGACTTGGCCTTCCGTGTCGATGCTGGCTCAAACCCTTACTACTTCGCCGTCGTCATAGAGTACGAGGAAGGTGATGGAGATCTCGCTGCTGTGGAACTCATGCAGGCATCATCATCAGCGGATTCATCGCAATGGCTTTCCATGCAGCAGTCATGGGGTGCAGTGTGGAAATTGAACTCAGCTTGGCAGCTGCAGGCCCCCTTTTCCATCCGATTGACGACGCTTTTATCCAACCGGACGATTGTGGCAGACGATGTGATCCCATCAACTTGGCTGCCAGGGGAAACATATCGATCTACCACACACTGACACCAGTATCTATCTTCATTGGGAGTACCATATGTAACTGCTGGTAACTAATCATGGCTTAATTCATGACAATAAAGACAAATTTTAGCCAATCCTTCCATTGTTCTGCTCAACTCCATTTCTTCCAATTACTCCAATAATAATTCTAGCTCGAACTTGTCAAACACGTTATCCTCTCAAGCCTTGTGGACTTGTTTTGCCTGTTGAACGAGGCAAGTCAACTCTTCCAGAGGAGGTGGTGGTGAAACATGGAATGGATGCTCTAAAGAAGCAAACCGAATCCACTACAAATAATACCTATGATAGAACACAACACATTTCCTACATTTTCATCACTGCAACTACTGTCTTCCTCACTTGGAATTTCTTCCTGCATCAACCAACTATTATTAATCTAAACCCAAAGGGTGGGTAGCCAGTGAGGATCACACCACATGTCAGAGAAGTAAAAATAGAGAGAGAGAGGGGGGGGGGAGGTGTGGGGGCGAAAGAAGGGAGGGCGTCATGATGGAAGTGTGGGGGACACTGAAGTGAGGATTCTGTCAGTCAAGAGCAAGTTGGTATCCTGTTCACAGAATACCAATTCTCAAAGCTTCAGAACAAAAGGAGCAAACCCAGAAACCTTCCTTTGTCTCGTTTATGCATTGCATCTGCTCCATGACTTGGTCAATCCAAATTCTGAATCATCAATGGCAACGCTCATTTTGTGTGAACCAGATGATGTAGCCACCAACATTCTTTCTTAATAGTGATGACAGAAAATGAAACAATTCAAGTTCCTTTCACTTAATTTCCAACACCCTCTTGAAAGTTCTAGCCTTGAAGGTAGAACAGTATCATAGTGGCAGCTGTGGCTTTTGGATATGCAGCAATTACAGTCCAATGAGGAGCTCTACCTCGATTTACAGTATCATAGCTTCCACTGACAAATGACTACAAACTAAATATGTAAATTTCTGCAGAGGCTCCCTGATTTTTACACTTGCAGTCAAATAGTGATTGTAATAAAATTTCTTCCACATCTTTTGAAAGGTATAGCTTTTCTGCTTTGCCCTCCAAAATGAGGAATCCCATGTCATTTATATGCAGCCTTCTAGTCCCTTTCATTCCCAGTTATCTAGAAATATAATTCAGATACAATTGATCTGCAACAGCTTGCTTGAGGTTGATATTATACTGATCTCATCCTCACTTTTTATCCTGAGAATTGTAGACTTCTTCATTGTTCTTTCAGCAGAATGCTGAGAAACAAAGTTGGGAAACTGGCCTACACTTTACAGAGATTGAGATACAGAAAGCTCCTCCAGTGTATTTCTCTACTAGCTTGTTTGCTCAGATGGCAAACCAGTAGCTAACATCAGTGCTACATGAGAAGAGGAATCAAAACTACATGTCCAAAAAATAATGTTTGTGTTGGATACCTTAAGTCTTTGCCCTAAGTAATCATGGAAATCCACTTGGGCACAAGGATGCAAGTCACAAGGTATTGCAGGACCAACTTAAACAGCATGAATTGATATACCAAATGGTAAGATTCCATTTGTGGAAGTCCCACCATTCCATTTGGTCAAATTGTTTTCCTAATAGATGCCATCATAGTACCCTTGTCAAGGTATTCCACATATTATATCTAGAAAACTTGGGATACTATTACAAGATAGATGCCACTGATGCCTGCCATAGTTTATTCACAGTTCAACAAGGAGGATTCTTCCCTGCTTTCATGATCTTTGAAGAGTAAACTCTAAAACTTTTAAGATCAATTATTCTGGTACCATTCTGCTCTCAACCTACTCCTATTATTACCACTACTACTACCACCACTTCAAAGAAAGTAGGGTACACAAGAACTGTCTAAAGACATCACATAATTGCAACTGGGTTGGGGCAGTTGCATGACAGTTGGTGCTACCCAGCAGACTTCAATCATCATTATCTGTCAGCTAAAAGCTAAGTAACACCATAGGGAGCTCTCACCTTGTTGACAAAGGTACTATTTCTGAATGAAGAATTGGTCTGACTCTATGCATTACTTGCATTCATTCTCTCATCTGCTAGCTTGACCTCCATAAGCATCACAACCCAGCTCTCCTTCCACAAGGCTCATAGCATGACATGATTCCTTGTGCCAGTAGAAGGAGAAAAGAGAAGATGAGATGAATGACAGTAACTAGTAACAGTAAGCGCATGCAGGTGAAAGCTGTGCCGGTGTGGGAAGCTCACAACCACACACCCAATGCTCTCTCATCAGTCTCTTTTGCCCAACCCGACAAGAACCAACTCATGAGAGCACAAGTGCTACCGATCTCGTGATATATGTTATCATTCCTTGTTCGCTGCTTTATTCCTTCCCCACTCTTGCGACGTTAACGTACGCATCACCCCGTAGTAGCTTTTCTCTATGCCCCTTCTTTAATCACCCCATTAACTGCCATCGAAGCATCGAGCTCTACAAAGCTCAGATCCTTAGTGGTGGCCTGGTAGCTGAGAGGAGGCAAGACTTGGTTTGATGCTTGTATGGGAAGAAATGAAAGGCCTACCTACCATGCAATGACTGCCGGAAGGTGTTTGCTTCATTGCCAGTAGAAATGGCATGGGATGGGAGTAGTGGTGGAGATCTGGAAACAGTGTGGCCTGCAACAAAGCGATGGGAGTCAAAGGGGAAGTGCATAAAGGCTTTTGCTGAAAGGGTGGGTGAGGGAAGGGAAGGGAAGACATGGGAATCCGCTTTGCATTCCGTCACGGGATACTGGCCACCCTCACGCATATCTTTCCGCCGCTAATGCTGCTGCTGTTTGCCGGATAAATCGAAGACCTAATAAATAGTGACCTCCCATGCCCTACAGGTTGACACTGGCACAATTGAACCGACCGGTTTGGTCTGATTCGCGTTAGATTTTCCCTGTTCGGGAACCAAATAAACATATTCGGTCGAATATTTTCCGGTTCAAATCGTATTTGGTTCTTTTGGAGAACCGAATCGAAGTGAACCGAGCCGACCCATAGGATCTAGTGGTCAAAGCGTGAGTGCGCTTCCTCAGCAACCGCAGCTGCCGGCGATCTCTCACCACAGGGTGTGGCGCGTTGTACGCACCGGAGTACACGATAAGGAAAGGCCTCAGACCGTCCATCACGTCGGTCCCACGTACATCGGACGTACCTCCGTGAAGACCGCGTGATGGGCCCACCAGCCCACACCAGTCCCGACGCCACGGCTTTGCCATCACGTAATTAGCAGCAGACGGGTCGATGATTCCTAAGCGATGCCAATTAATAGCACCGACGAGCTAATGACTTGGTCTTAATTGTCCCAGTGGAACACCAGTAACGGCAGGGTTGAGAGAGAGAGAGAGAGAGAGCCGGGTGAAGGAAACGTGGAGACCGGCGCGTGGAAATGCTGAGGCGCTACGCTCCAAAAGCCGAGAGCTTGCCGAAGAAAAAGCTGAACCAGTAGAGGTGAAGGGAAAAGGATGAAGACAAGAATAAGTACCAGTCCAAACAGAGAATTTTCCAGGTGGGAAGCAGCGGCAGAAGTTCTGCTTCTCCAGACTCCCCCTCTTTGGAGATGAAATGAGATGTTACACACTTAGCTAATCCACATACACAAAAAAAGAATAAACATGTTTATGATCAAAGAGATGGTGAAGAGAAAAACTGCAGTAATTGGCAATAGCAATCAGCTGTTGCTACAGTAAGCAAAACTGCAACTTGAACACAAAAAAGAATGGTAGAACTAATGTCAGCTTAAGCAAAGAAGAACAGAAGCATACGAATAAGATCACCAAATCGCCAGCTTTCTCCAATATGTAACAGCGCTGAGAAAAGATTTACTTCAAATCTTTTTTGGTTTCTTATGTTGTGTTTCTTTGTCTCTGCAAGTCTTACCTCGAGTTAGAAGGAGCGCTCGGATTGCATGGCCTCGGCGTGTGGAGTGTGTGGATTCAGTTGGGACGTGGGTTGGCAACGAAATCCATATCGGAAACGGCCGACAGCTCCACGTCGTCCATCGACGGCGCCGGAAAGTTGAGATCGATCATGCCGATGCTGCCGCCGAACTTGGTGGCGGCGGAGGCGAGGGGGGAGGTGCTCTGCGGCGAGCATGACGGGGGAGGGCGTGACACCGGCGAGTTCTCGGTGAGCATAGTGGCGGACGACGTGAAGTGCGACCGCTTGTGGCCGCCGAGAGCTTGGCCGGAGCTGAAGACTCGGAAGCAGAAGGGGCACTCGTGGACTTTGGCATCGGCATTGGCGTCGGCGGAGTCGGCTTCGCCGTAGATCCGGGGCTCCACGGCCGGGACGCAGCCGTTGGTCTTCTTGTGGCTCGCCCGGTGGCCACCGAGGGCTTGGTACGACCGGAACACCTTCTTGCACGCGCCGCACTGGTACCGGCTCCGCCCCTTCTTCGGCGGTTGCCGGGTGCGAGCGGCGGCCCGCCGATCCTCCTCTTCCTGCTCGTCGAAGCCGTCCGACAGTCGGGCCTCCTCCTCCGCCGCAGCAGTAGCCCAGGAGTCGCGGGACAGCATCATGAGGCAGAGCGCGACATCCTCCTCGGGAGTCGCGTCCGAGACAGAGCTAGCCGGCTCCGCCTCCGGCTGCTCCGTCGGCGACGCGGTGTCCCGGCGGGATCGCTTAGATCGGCGTCGGTTCTCCTTGGGGGACTCCGTCTCGCTCTCCCGGTCCTGGACGACGTCGCTAGATCCGGCCAGCTCAACGGCAGCGACGGAAGAGGAGAACTGGGGATCCACCAGCCGGAAACTCTTCCGGGGGTTCATGCGCAGGCCATAAGAGCCTCCCACCTCCTCCTCCGCTTCCTCACCTACTTCCTGCTCCGCCGCAGGTCGGTCGGAGGATATGGACGCGGATGAGTTTCCGGGGTGCTGCGCCTGTGGGACCGGAGGGGCCGCAGATATGACGTGAGAGCGCATGTGCCCCCCGAGAGCCCGTCCATTGGGGAAGCGGCGGAAGCAAAGGTTGCAGGTGTGCCTGTCCATGGAAGCGATTCCTTCAGCTCGACCCTCTCGCTCTTCTTAAGAGAGCAGAGAGAGAGAGAGAGAGAAAGAGAAGGGGGGGGAGGGGAAGTATTGAGGGGAGAGTGGGAGCTAAAAAAGAGTAGGTGACAAGCATTCCTCAACCAAAAGGAGTCACGCCCCCACCCGAGATAATAAAATAAAATAAATAAAAAAAGACAATAAACCAAGAAAGTTATTTATCCAAAAAAAAGAAGAAAAATACATATAAATGGTACGTATCTTTTCTCTTGGAAATCCGAGCCTCATGTGAGAAGCAATACAAATGATTTGGGGATACCTTTTCCTTCATTTCATGCATCTTTGTGGTTCTCCCACTTCATTATAGTTAGTACTAAAATAGCAGTAAGAATTAGTAATAATACAGTATGTTGACATATCGCAACAGACCCTCCGAGAGAGGCGAGATCGAGTGGCGTTCGATTAGGGGTTGGCCATCGACCAAGTCGTAGGTAAAGAAAAGAATGACATGCACCTCCGTGCCACACGTTGCCACCCAATTGATGACACTCGATGCTTCCAGAAAAGATTTCATTTCCCTATCTAAATTAACCTTATGCAGCTTTTTGAAAGATACATGAAATAATCGTGAGATTACGAGCTTCTTTTTCTCTAATAATTGCGATTACGGAGCTTCAAATCTGAATCACATGACGTTGTGAGATGAGAAGAGCTTCACAGAGAACCCGTGTGTTGCGACAGTATACTGCTAGTGGGTAAGATGAATGCGGCTTACGGATCTCATGCATCTCGACATCATCTCACGAACGAAGGAATAGCAGAGATTGGAGGGGCAGTTTCCTTCGGACCGGATCCATTTGAGGTGGTTTCAAGCAGGCTGATCCAAATCAATCCGACCCGTTTCCGCATCAATATTCGTGTTCCGGGCCTCGCCCTTGCCGGTAACGGATCCAACACCAACAGCTCTATATATATATATATATACATATATAATGGGATCGTTACTAATAGGTGGCAACTCCATCTTAATAGGCGACCACATGCAACCAAATGATGGGAATCGAGCACAGGAAATAATTTTAATTTTGTAATAAATAATCAGTTCTGGCACTGTTTTTTTGGATGATTCGTACTGCAATTTGAAGATAATGGAGGTGAGTCATATTGTTTGGGATGAGGTTGGCTCCTCCTAATCAATTGTGGCGTCCAATGAGGCGGCTATTGATGGTGGTTGAGACGACGGCTTTGACCATATATAATGATTGGAATATGATTGCAATGGAGAAGATAAGAGTCGAAAGAGGTGTTTGATATTAATCGTGACCGAGAGCAGCTCTTCTAATCATGCAGAGATACTTCACAATTAGTGGCGGAATGGGGCTCTGCTTCTTCGTTGCCTTCTCTAGCCTCGTCCTCTCCCTCCTGCATCTTCCGGCGGCCGCTTGCTCCTGTGGCCGGTCGGACTGCGAGCTCATCGCCCTCGCCTTCCGCCACGTCTCGGGATTTCAGCTCCCCCCTCCCACGGGCGACTGCTCCCTCAGGCTCCCCTCCCGCAACCTCAGCGGTGCGGTCTCGTGGATGCACCTGCGCAGTGTCTCCGCCCTCCGTGTCCTCGACCTGTCGGGCAACGCCCTCGGTGGGTCCATCCCCGGCGGGTTCTGGTCCGCCCCGGCCCTCCTCCACGTCAACCTCGCATCCAACCGCCTCGACGGCGTCCTCCGGTTCGACCCCGGCTCCCAGACGCCGCCCCTCAGGTCGCTCAACCTCTCCGGAAACCGGTTCACTAGCGTTGCCGGCCTCGCTGCCCTGCCCCGTTTGGAGGACGTCGACTTGTCGCGGAACAGCCTCGACTCCTTCCCGGTCGGGCTGGAGAAGCTCGGAAGACTGCGGCACTTGGACTTGTCGCATAACTCGATGAGAGGGGTGTTGCCGGAGGGATTTCCGCCGATCGCCGGCGGGCTTGGCTACCTCGACGTCTCTTACAATAACTTCACCGGCGTCGTGCAGCCCGAGGCGGTGAAGAAGTTTGGGGAGCCTGCCTTCGTCGAAGCCGGCTCTCTTCAGTTTGTTTCCGCTGCTCGCGTCGTCGCCCATTCGTCTTCTCCTAGTCGTTCGCTTCGGAGGACGAGACACAGAAGATCGAGGAAAAGAAAAATTACATTGTTGTCAGCTATTCTTTCAGTTGCTGCCGTTGCTATCATTCTTGTGGCGCTTTGGTACTTGCATCGAGTCGATAAAGAGGAGCAAAGGGCAAGAGAAGAGAAAGAGGGAGGTGCCGCCACCGTGGGAGATGAAGCCGGTGGTGCTGTACAAAAAGCCGATGAAGGCGACGTCGAGGTTCGTGAAGGAGTCTCAGCTGGAAAAGGGCAGGCGGAGCAACCCCACGTATAGGGCGGCGGTACTCCCCAGCTACGTGCACGAGCGGTACGGATGGTGGAAGTCTCTGCCACCCCCTTTTGAACAGTGATCCAAGCCACCTAAACCAAATTGCGGACTTTCTCCTGGAAGTCTTCTCACAACGTTGCTCTGTTATGTCCTCTGCTCTGCATCTTGTTTCTTGATTCATGTCCTGTAAATGCCTACACAGATTCTTTGCTTGTTTTCAGCTTATAACCTTCTCTACATCCTCTGCTTTGCTGCTCTTCACTTCTCTGCCTTTTAGCTGCAGCAACATGAAATCTGTAGGTACTCATTAAAATTGGACTCTGTATCAGCAAATCACATGAACGGTCAACATAAACTTCGCCAGCGATTGAGCATATGGTCTTATGCAGAGATTACTGCTGCAGTTGTACCATCGAATCAGCCTCACGTTGACTGAAGCGCCCGAGTGTGGATCCCATCGTAGATATATCTTAGATCAAATGGGAGTTGTTTTGGACCCTCATTGTCTCTGCAACAACAGTACTAGATTCTTGGGCCAGTTTCTAGCCATCCAACCACATGCATGCATCCTGTCGACGCATCCCGGTATCCAATCCGTACCTATCTCGAACTGTCCGTCGGATGTACGTGTATACAGAAGCTGATGACGATGATGATGATGTACATGTATTCACGGGAGACGGGAGGAACGGTGGCCTGAAAGTTTCCTGAGTGAAGAGGATGAACAGTGCGTGATGGATGCATCTCGCAGCTGCTTTTGTCAGGGCGCCACCTTCGATGCATCTGCTGGACCAACCTGTCTCGTCGACTGAACTCGTCAATCACCTCCGCCCACGTGTTCGGGACCCAACATGTGCCGCGCACGTGATCACCCATCCTTCCGGTGTATAACACCTCTGCCGGATGGGTGGTGTTCCGGGAGTGGAATAGCTGCTGTCACTCACCTTTATAGCGGAGGAAGGCAGCATTGGGTGTAAGGAAAGAGAAGCTTAGAAGAGGAAGCGACTCCCTGTGCTCTTGGCTTGTAGCTTCGAAGTGGTGGCAGCAGCAAGAGTGATGGAGGACGGGGGAGTTGCAGGGAGAAGTGGAGTTCTGTCGTGGGACTTCTGGAAGCTCCGAAACTGGGCTTCGTCACACTCTGCCTCCTCTTCTTACTCTACGGCGCAGCCCAACGCAGATGCCGCCGCCGCTTCCTTTTCTTCTACCGTTGCTGCTTGCTTCCCGTGCTCCGACCGTGAGATGATGGCTGGGGGCAACAGGGACCAACGGGCGCTACAGTACCACCACCACCACCTTACGTGCCTGAAGCTGGGGAAGAGGCAGTATTACGTGGAGGAGAGCGGGGCGGCTGGGGCTGCCATGAAGCGGGAAAGGCCGGCTGCGGCGGTGCCGAGGTGCCAGGTGGACGGATGCGGCAAGGTCCTGGCGGACGAGAAGGAGTACCACAAGAGGCACAAGGTGTGCGAGCTGCATTCCAAGGCTCCCAAAGTGGTCGTGCGTGGCGTGGAGCAGCGCTTCTGTCAGCAGTGCAGCAGGTCGCTTCGCCTTCCAACCTAGTGAAAAGAAGCTGAACCCGAGAGCGAAGAACCTAACAGTTCCTGGTTTGATGCAGGTTTCATGTAGTAGCCGAGTTTGATGATTCGAAGAGGAGCTGCAGGCGGCGACTGGCGGGGCACAACGAGCGAAGAAGAAAGAACAGCACTGACCCCATCGCCAGAAATCCTTTCTTAGGTACGACCGCACAACCCTACCATCTCAGCTGCTGCTTGTTGTCTTCCCCTTCGTTTCTTTCCATTTGCATGACATGGTCTAGAATTCAGGACATATTGCATTTGGCCACACTGAGCCATGAGCATGATTGAGGGCAAGGCTTATGAAGTATGAGAAGTGCCATAGGAAAGCTATTAGAAAGGAATGCTCTTATCATTCAGGATTGTGATGTTCTCTCTCATCTTATAACTCTCTTGACATGAGAACTATTTTAGTAGGCCATTATTGTGAGCATGTCTGAAATCCAATCCATTAATTTGCAGAAAGCGCAATGACCGGAGACATCATCCCCTGCATATCAACTTCACCGGGTTGTGCTCTCTCTCTTCTGTCATCCAAGGTTTCTCCTTGGATCTCGTCATCGGAGTTCTCATCCAGATCCAGTGCCGCGCTCAACGAGCTAATCGCCGAGAACCGTGCCGCCGGCCTCGCCCGCCGACTACTCGCAAATCGAGGTGGCTGGCACCCCGTGGTCTCGGCAGAGCAGCCTCTCTTCTGGCCATGTCCACACCACCAAGCGTCAATATCACAAACACAAGTCAGGCTCGACGATGGCTGGATTCGGCTGCAGGATGCCGGAGACCGTGTGATGCTGGACCTCATGAACGCCCAGCTCCTCCTTTGGGATGCTGCCGGCGAGGAACGAGTCACAGGAGGAAGAGGAGTGCTATGACTTCTGGAAGCCAATCTAACCCCCACTTCAGGATGATCGCCTTCACTTCTAATCGCTGCGTCCACTCGTCAATCTCAGCCCTCCACGTAATACATTTCATGAAATACTCATCGGATTTTAAATCCATTTCTGCAAAAAGCGTTGGAGAAGATCCTCCAAAAGGGCCGTCGGAGCTGGTGATTTGTGCCTGTAATCACGATGTTGCCCTTCTTGAACACTCTGTTGGCACGTGCCATCGATCGGCACGATGAGATGTGTGCTGGCGGAATAATACCAAGTGATTATGTAATCTCAGCCGTCAGATGAATCCCTCCCTCCCTCCCTCCCTCTGAGCACATGCGTTGGTGTATTTACTGCGTACATTCCCCAAGCTAGCGACGGAAGCATTCTCACGAAGATGAGGCAGCTCCGGCGACGGTTGGCTCGTCGCCTGCTCCTTTGGCAAAACGTCCTTTTATCCTCGGCCGCATCTCAGCACACGCCCTTCTTGACGCATGCCGTATATGCTTCTTCGTTTTGTCCTTGGACCTCATGATCCTGGCTTCCCTCTCCACACCGGGGTCCCCTTCACCGGCTGCCATGGTGCTCCAACCTGAAGCGTCCGTGAGTGCGCTTCCTGAAGACATCTGCAAAGAGCATCAAGCTTTTCATCGAACGCGTTGCGTCCTATCAAAGACCTCTGCACTCGGTACAGAAGAAAAGTCACAGCAATGGATCAAATCTTGGTCAAAAGGCATCCATAAGTCTGGCCACAGAAATGGCGCAGAACTTTACCGCCAAACAGTTCATATGTCTTCAAGTCAATAGAATTTGATTTGACGAAGAAATGTTATACAAATTTTGTCACCTTTTCACTAAGAGAATAAAAAATAAACTTATGCAAAAGATAAAAGAAAGTATAGACTGAATTAATTGTTAAAAATTTTGATAGATAATCATACATTTTTTAGGCTCATAGCTCGACTTTATACCGACTCGGAAAGAAGATGAAAGGAACCAGAGAAGTGTTAGGTGATCAAAAGATCTGAACAACTAAGATTAGGTGATCAAGGCATAGCGGCGATCACGTGGCCGGAAATGGTCACCGGAGATGGGAGGGGAAGGTGGAGGCGGAGGCGAGGTGTGAGAGTCAAATAGGTGTGTGTGGTGTGTGGTAGGGCCAACGAGGTAAAAGAAAAGGAAGATATATAGCGATCACTCCTTTTCTAACGTGGCGGATTCCTTGCCACCTTTTCCTTTCGCATTGGGAAAGCTTGGTGACAAGCGCTCGGAGTCTCGGAAGGTCGAGCCTCCATGGTGAAGGAATTATCGTTTTCCCATATAGAGAGATAGACACGTGGACTAAGATATATTATAAATTTTACTGAATCTTGATTACGATTATTGATTAAAGAAAATTCATTTATGATAAAAAATATATATATATATTTAAGAAGTTATTTTTAATTAAAATTATTTTTAATTTATTATTATATATAATTTGCTCTCGCTTATAAAAGGATGGAACCTCTTAAGAACGAAATATCAAAAATTAAGATTATATATTTATTCTTAATCTTTTTAAGTTATGAATAATGGGAAGAAAAAAGAAGATGAGTCTAATACTCATTGTAGATCGATAATGAAACGACAGTATATCTAAATAACACAAAAAAGTATGTAATCTTGGTCTATCGTTATTTGATTTAAATTCTAAAATTAAGATTTTTCATATAACAATTAGATAATTATAATTTTTATGCTTATAATTGGTATAAGATCTATGTTTTGAAATAAAATATCTTAAATTGTAAAAATATATTAGATCTATTTTATATTTAGATTTATTTATTAGCAACCTTCACATGCAAAAATATGTTATTCAATCTTGATTGTACGATGCTTGAATAATTTATCTACGTTGTCGATTTGATTTCCTATCTCATCCATCCTATCGTTTGGTTGCAATCAATGTGAGGTTCCTAATATTTGATTAATGGACTACCGTCGATAACTTGTTGTTAGCAATAGCATTGTTAAGGTCGATGCCCTCCATGGTCGTCGGCCCAATCATGAGCAACAACCGACAACAAACATATGCACGATTGCCTTGGTTACAAGCGGTTGCACACCTAGTAGTGTTCCTGCTTGCAATAACTACAACAATGCCACTGCCTTAGATCGATGGTACATCAATCCCTTTGATCGACGATTATAATAATGTTGTTGTAGCAACATTTACTAATAATGGTCGACGTTGGTTGGACGTCGAAGGCCGTGCTCCCAAGTGGCTACACAACAGACACATGGGAATAGTCATGACGATTTATGGGGTCGTCGATTGGCACATGAGCACAGTCACACATCGTATTAATCGATAAGGTCGCTAGTTGGCACATGAGCACAACAACATGGTGGAATGAAATGGAGCCTAATTGGGTCGTCGATCGATCACATAGGTCGAAATGGAGCCTAATTGGGTTGTCGATCGATCACATAGGTGACATGTAGGCAACAAGCGATTGTGCACCGCGATGGTCGTATGCCTTGTGCATCAACGATTGAGAAAAAAAAAGTAGGGTTTCACATATTGAAATTATAATTTCACCATTATGAATCCTTTTAATTCTAGGTTTATGTCCCCTTGATAGTTTCACCCTTCAAAATCCATATATTTTCAATATATATCCCTAAAAAATTATAGTTTTACCATTCAAATATTATATATATCTCAAAAAATAATATTTCTAAATAGGGATCTAAATGAGAAAATCTACATAAAATAACTAGAAGGATTTACAAAGAAGAAAAAGAA